GTGCCGTCTGGCTGGTGGCGACCGAAGTTCGGAATCGCAGCCGTTTGACTGTGGTATCCACAGCGGACGCGTGCAGGTATTGTTGCTAGTCGGTGGCAGGCAAGGTATAAAACCGCCAGAAGCGTTTTGAGCGGGGAGCTGTCGGATGTGATCTGAGCCCGCGGTGCGTTGCACTGGGATCTGTGCAGGGGCGCGCACAGCCGTGAACACGCTTCTTTGCACTGAGGTTGATCTAGTGCAAGGAATCACATGACGGGTGTCAAACAAGGGGCGAGTTCTACTTCAAAGCTGCGGTACGGACTGTTCCCGGCGTCCGAAAGCGGCCCGGAGAGCAGAGACCCGGCAGTGGCGCTGCCAGCGGGGGAAGGTGCGGTACCCGCAGTGAGACTGCTCGGGGGACACCAGCTTCTGCCCTCCGCCAGGAAAAGGAAAAACCTAAAAAAAAAAAAAATTAGTTCGAAGGCCTTTAAAGTAGGGATTTAAAGTAGGGATACTGAATGAGCAATATAAGAAAAACAGAAAAAGGGATTTGTCATGTTAATATGTGCAATCTCTGTTGTTAGATGTTGTTAACTACTAAAATAACGTGCATCAAAATTACAAAAACACACTGCTCTGTTCCATGAGCCACTTGAAAACTAGATGTAGAAACTAGTTTTTCTTGTGCAATATTGTGCGTAGATTATGATAGACTAAAATAGTTATCCTGGCAGGAGAACTTGCAAAATAAAATTATCTCCAATGCATCGTGAAAGTTTATTCCACCAGATAATTTGATGAAATTCTGAGCTGATCAACTGTTAAAGAAATATTTGATTTAAATAAAGATAGGCAACGTCTTAAATTGGGTGTGTGTATGTGTGGAAAAATATAAAAGGAGGAAGTGACTAGATTCAGTGTGACTACATATGAATGCAAGAATGTCTTCTGGAAAAGAATGGAAAAAAGTTTTCTGATAAAGAAAAATATTTTATAGTACAGTTGAGTCACACATTTCATGAGCCCATTTTTACCCTTAAGGAAAATAAGAAAGTTGAGCTTTTAAATTTCCTGTGTGGAGTTGGTAATGTTTGCATAAGTGACGCTACATTTGTATGGCTTGCTACAAAACATAATTCCTAAATGTTACTTTAGTGACAGATTTGCCTGTATTCACAGGGTTACATTCTGCTATTCAGGCATTGTTTCAGACTTCTTTCCTCCATTTGCACATTGATATGCACTTCCTTTCAGTTAAACTTGATTATTCTGCCTGATGTGTTAAAAGAGGAATTGCTGAGTATTTAGTTTGGATGGTTGTGTTTAACTGTGGCTGTTCTTTTGACTGATGCCCTTCATATAAACACAGAATTCATTAAATCTATCTAGTGCTTTGGGAGAACTTAAGCCATGCTGAATAAAATGACTAATTTCCCATTTTACTTCTACTTTTGTACCAGATCTGTTTTGTTGCTGTGAAGTCCTGTTCTGGTTCCTGAAATTCCAGATATTGAGAGTACTGTTATATAGTGGTCAGCTGTTTTTCTTCTTGGTTAAATAGGTGCTCCATGATAGGGTTTCATGTATGAAGTCAGCTATCCTCCATTTTTTTCCTGTTTATACTACTCTGCAATAATTCACTTTTATCAGAGATACTAGCTGTAGTACAAGAGCTGGAGCTAATCAGAGAAAATGATAGAGCTCAGCTTAGTTGTTTCTTTGTCCCTTTAGACACTCTCTAGGAGTCCTGGTGCAGTTAATAAACAATTTGCAATTCAGCTGAATAATTTGTAACTTTCAGGTAAGGAAAGCCAAAGGATTCAGTTTTTCAGCTGAAAAGCACAAATACCAAGTTGAACAGTAACTCTGATCTGTTGTTCCTGTTACACGTCTATATTGGAAGGTTGCTAGGAGCTGACACAGTGAGTTACTGCTGGGCAAGCAGACTTTCAGTGCTGGAGAAGGCATCTTCACCGGCAGTTGGCAGGGCGTTCCTCTTGAGAACTGGGAAGTGATTTCTTAGGATAGGCAGCCCTGTGGCATTACATGGTTTTTCTCACCCTGTGAACGTTTTGTATTTGCAAAATGAAAATTCTCTGAAGAGAATTATGTTTCTATTCATGTGTCTGTAGAAAGTATTCCTACAAGTATTTAGTCTTCATGGGAATACCCTTCCATCACTTGGAGGCTGGGATTGTTTCAGGCCTTTCAGGATCTAGAGGTTAGGTGCTAGGACTTTGGTGGAACAACTACTTTGAAACAGCAGTTTACCTTTGTACTGATCATGTTTTCAGAAGTATAAAGATGGCAATTCAAGGATCAAACTTTCTGAAGATGAAGATCTCGTAATTGCGTAGCCGATCAGCAGACTTGTGTGATTACTCTATGCTTGCAAACTATATTTGCCCTGAACACCGATAAGAAATAGCTGTGAATTATAAGAGCTGGCTTAAAAGTAGCCAGTCCTCTGTTGGTGGATGCAAGGTGTCATCCTAAACCAAAACCAACACTTGCGGACATGCTACCTGTAGTTTTTAACATCTTCTCGCATGTATGAGTTGTGCTGCTTGATGCTTAACACCACTGATATTCAGACTTGAGGCGTCTCTAGCAGAACATAGGGAAACAAGAGTGCTAGAGGTGAGCTACTGCTTTCCTACTGAAACCTGTCCTGTGTGGTGTTCCAATTGAAATTTAAGACACTGCATTGCCGTAACTTTGTAGCCTCAGCTGTATGACTCTCAGTGAGCAAATTTGGATTTAGCCTGCCAGAAGGACGGCTTTATTTTTGGAAATATTAATGCCATAAAGATGTCCTGGAATTTATCCACTAGGACTTCATGGAATCTCAAGATCCAATCTAAGGCACTCCCTTTGTTGTAAACCCATGTGGCTTCCAGTTTCTGCCTAATTCTGCCAGGTGCAAAGGAATGGTTCAAGTTACTGTATTTTTAAATATTGTATTTTTTGAAAAAACTGTGAAGGACCACAATTTGAGGAGAAAAAAATCCACTTTGTTGCTTTGAGCATTATGATACATGGACATAGATTGGCTAGGGTGTTGTGCCTCTTCATTGCGAGGATTTACCATAATTTATGAAGGACATTAAGGATGCAATTTTCTTCCTCTTCCAGCATTTACATAGCTCTCTTTCTGTCAGAATCTATGGCAATTTTATCATCAATTTCAGAGCCAGGCATATTTTAATCACAGTGGCTGTCAATCAATTATTGCTTTTTATGTTTATTTAATAACAGAACTGCAGGAGACCTCAGAAACTGTAATCAAGATGGAGCCCTGATTGCTCTATTTGCTGTATTAAATACATGAGGACATGCCCTTAACCCACACACTCCCTGATCGACAGAATAACTGGAATTATGAAGAGCGGAATCTGGGGTTTGAGAAGAAAATGTGTTGGTGTGTTGTTTTTGCTAACCATGCTTTGTTTAGATTTCATTTATGTTTAAACAGAGTATGGTCCACAAGACAAATTCATATTCTTAATTTAGCTTCTCTGTTTCTGTTGTCTAACAAGACTGTGTAGTTATAAGAGCAGAATCAGGCCCTGGATTCCAAAGTTTATTTTTAGCATTGTATATGTTGTCATTTTATGTCAAAAACTTATGTAAATACAGGTTTTGTTTAATTCATGCATCTTTGTTATGCAAAAACAGTTACTGATCATGGGCTTTTAGCAACACTTGTTACCCAAAAATACTCTAGCTACATAGCTGTAACCCTTCTTATATCTTTTAGGAATTAATTTTAATTTTATTTGCGGGAAAGATGATTCTAGTTAGGGTACAGGCAGAGATGGCAAGTTTACTGCACTGCTGTGATTTGACTCCAGGTTTCCAGAGAACAGATGCTGCTTTAATCCATTGTAGCACAAAGCCCTAGTATTACATTAAAGGGGACTGCAAATGTAGCTAAATAAATCTTCTTTTGCTTCCTTACAATAGACAAAAGACTGGAAACATTTTCATAAAATTATTGCAAAGAACTCTTCAATAAAAATAAAGTAAAAGAGCAAAGCTTTGGTATGGTAAAAAAATCAAACCCTTTTGTCCCTGTGGGAGAAGCACAAAATTAGAATGATGGCTTTGATAGCCTTTAATACAGGAAATTGATGTAGTATATCTGTTAATCAGATTCTTTCAGTAGTTCGGTGTCGTCTGAGTTAAACTTGTGCTTAAAAACAATGGACCCAATTCCCTGTTGCCTTACATTGTGCAAGCACAAACAAAATGCGACAGTTACGATTTGGCTTCCTTTTACATAAATGGCTACACACAGGGCGGGGCAGTAGAAAAAGAACCCTAAGCTTGTTTTGAGGGGTACTTGCATTGTTCAGTCCAAAAAATTTCAGTCGCCCCTCAAATTCACCGGATTAAAAAGGATGGGATGTGTCATATGTTTAAATGTTTTGGTAAGAACAGAGAAAAAGAAAACTAACTTCCTTCTGTTTGTTGATATATACATGACCTTTCAGGTCATCTTTGTGCAGTGTAAGGGAAGCAAGGATGCAAAGCCAATGGATTTTCTGTTTCAGGGTATGTTTACAGCCAGTCCTAAAGCTGGAAGGTTCACAATTTGACTTTAATTTTCGCTCCCCGCCTTTGTAGTCAAATGGACGAAACTCAATCTCGGTTCCCATGGAGAGTTAAATACAGCAGTAGCTGTGGGCATTGTAGCTTAGACGCCTGTATGTTGGACTGTATTTAACTTAAGTTTAGTGTATTCTTTTTAGTGTAGCCTACAGCTGTAATAATTATAGTTGTGATCCTTTCAGTTTTCATGAGTCAAGTCAGGGTAGGCCATGTCAGTACTTGCACAGAACTCCAAGGAAAAAATCTTTGGGAAGGCATGGATGATTTAGTTGTAACAATTCCTGCCGTTAAAGATAATACCAAAGGCAGGGTTTCCCTCATCGTTTGGGGAGGCTGTGTGAGGAGGTCATCATTCAAATGAGATGGACAGCAGTGTTCCTGATCCAGCTACAGTTCCTACGTCTGATAGTACATAGAACAGAACAGGCCTGTATCAGCCTCCGACTTTCTGGGCGTGTTGCAGCTTCATCATAGCTTTTCTCTCAATCCAGTTTCCCTCTGCACTTTCAATGGGGAATAAAATTTATCTTTATTTTTCTTTCTTATGTTGTTCTGCTTTATTGTAATGTGCTGTGAAACAGCTGTTGAATTTCCATTCTAGAGGTGTCTGGGGTGATTCTCATGCTTTGAAGTTAACGACATTTCACAGGGTGTTGAATGTTAGATAATATTTTCAGCTGTTCTTAGATTCTTGAAAGGCAGGCTGTTCATTTCTGTTGTTTATATATTCCTTTCTTAATTTTATTCTGTGAACCTTGTTTAGAAGATACCAGT